ACTATACATCAATGTCTGGCATCGAAGAGGTATCAGTCTGCACACCAAGCTGAAGGTATACACAAACGCACTGCTTCCACTGCTACTGTATGCTTTTAAAACATGGATTTATACAGAAGTCATGCAAAGAAGCTCAATCACTTCCATACAGTGTATTAGAACAGAACGATACTGAACATTAGGCGGTAAGAGTGGGTCCCAAATACTGTCATAGTGGATAGAAATGGCATTCCAAGCACTGATACCTACCCGATGCAGTCACAAATTTGATAGGCAGTGCAAATAGTTCGTTAGTCGGCTTCCAAAAATACTATTTTGAGTGAGAGAAAAGAAGATAAACGAGATAAACGTCTATTCGAAGAGGTGCGACCACTTGCGATGCATTTAGAAAAAGGGCAGCTGAACAGCGAGGACCTGATAGAAAGTCACAGTTCCATTTCCAGTTCCATCTTAGAAAAAAAAAAATTTAAAAGACGACCACGTTCAACCTGCAGTCTCCGATTATATATGTCTTCTTGTTCTTCTTCAGCATTCCGAACCCTTGAGGTTCATTCCTGCAGATATCACCCGCCTCCATTCATTTCTCTGGTTGGCCTTCTCTTTCCAATTGGTAACACCAAGTGTTTGCAGGTCTTTCTGGATGTTGTCTCTCCATCGTCTTCTAGGTCTCCCTTGTGGTCTACGACCATTTATCTCCCTCCCTGATGTATACAATTTTTACTTCTCTGTCATCTAATATAATTTAAATATGCCCCAACAATTTCAGTCTATTAGCTTTCATGATGCCACTGATCAGTGGTGATTTAAACAGATTATGAATTTCGTTCCATTATATCTGTGGTCTGGTTTATTTTGGGCTAAGTGTTTAGCTAAGTTTATGGTATATGAGCCAGCTAGCTGGCTTTGTGTCCCTATCTGAACAGACTATTCGCTCATCCCTGAATATATCCCACTGTATTCCTGTTAGCCTTAGCTTTAAGATGGATTTGCTTCGTGGGTTATCTTCTATCCGTTAGGTCTCCTAAATATTATGTCCCTTTGTCCTCGAGTGTGGTCCTGAATTTGTTCTGTCCTATTACTGATTCCTTCCAGGCCAGCACGGGGCTTATAAGTCACCTCCGGACTCTCAGACAGTCAACTCATAGTTTCATGACGGATGAAAGAAAGAGTGGTCCTCATCACTTGTAACAGACGAATAATATTGGGGGCCAGAAGCTGAGGTCCCTTTAATGTTTTATTTGTGGCGGCGACCTCGATTCTCATGGTAAGTGTGTGTGTGTGTTCGCGCACGCGTGTGTATTTGTTTATGTGTGTGTAAAATAGATCCTGTATGTAGTTCCGGGGTCAGAGGCTCTGCCAGTAAGCCAAATGAATGACAGTGTAAACGTATATTTACAATGATATAAAGTTAGCTGCGGATCCTTAAGAGGAAGTTGCAGAACGAACCCCAACAGCCCCTGGCTGTTGTGTGGTTTTTCTAGGCAAATTTACGTCCAGTAGTTTGCCATTGCTTCCTGGACTGTCGGCTTTCTTGATACCACTGTCGAAACCAACGCAAGGTGCATGAACCGCAGCTGGGATGGAACCTGGCATCCCGGCATTACGAAGCGTTCGCATCGACTTAGCCACAGAGCCGACTCACAATGATAGTTAGATGAAAGCTCAGCAGCGCATATAAATTTTGGTAGCTACATAGGTTTATCCGTGCTTGGTGGTAGTGGGTGGTGCTGGTAATAGTAGTAGCAGCAGCAGTAGTACATAATTCTTTCGACACGTATATTTCGACGCATATGGTGCCTGAATCATACTTTGTTGTTAGACCAACTGTCCCTTAATGGCCGCATATAGTCTACTTTCAAAGATATTTTCTGGTATTAATATTCAAGCTGAGTCGACTTGGCAGCTAGGTTCAACACACACACAAACTCACCGAGATGCCAAATTAAATGTACAACAAAGGGGCGACAGAAAAGAGACTGCGCTCCCTGGACTCTATTATCTCTTTACTTTTTCATGGAGGATGATGATGATTGTGAAAATAGCAGAAATGATAGGATTATGCTCGTTACGCTTCAAATGTTTCTTCTCTGTTGATTTTTCGCGTTACCCTTTAAATGAATCGTCTCTGTTGATTTTTCGCCTGATCGAGATAGTTAATACAGTAAAATACTGGCAGACACGAAAGGGACAATTACAGGATTATAAAGTCTTATCTCATAAACTAACACAGCTACAGGACAACTCATTTAAAACAGCCTGCGTCATGGAGAGAATCCCCCAAGTACGCTTTTAGGATCGCCTGAACAATCTTAAATTTATTTTCTCTCCACTGATTGGCTGGTGTTCCCGACGTCACGGGGATATCCGCGAAAAGCATTATATAAATAAATCGGTCACATGGCGTTTCAGTTCATGTTTGAGTCAGCGACGAAAACAACAGTGTTGCAACTTTGCTTTGTCAGTCCAACTAGGTTGTACACTCACAAGTTGGCGTAATTTCTTAGTCAGTTGGTGGTTTTACAGTATTTATTGTGTTCCATCGGAAATAGTTTCAGTTTGTTTCTCTAAACAAGGCGGTATTTGTAGTGTTGTGTAAGTAACTTTTTGTGAACTACTATACTCATGAACAAAAGATCTTTCGTTTACCTATCCTGCCGAATGTTAAAGCGGTGCAGTCTCTAGCGGGGAGTGTTCGAAACGCTATACTAAGTGTGGGTTGGTTTAAGGTGTGAATAAGACCACAGTTTAGTTTTAGAAACGGCTTCTTTGGCCATATTATGTGTAACTGAACGGGACGTGGAAATAGGAATATTTAAATATAAATACAATAAAAATTATAAAGTAATGTTTTCATGGAAGTTTTACCACTTGACTTCTTAAATTGTAAGACTGTATGACGAACAGATGTACAAATAAAGTTCAGTTATTGGATGGGAGAAATGCCGCAAAGTATAGGAGTACTAAACGTTTACATCAAAACATTACTGATAATGAACAGGAAAGAATGTGCATGCATCTACAGATATAAACATAGACATAAGAACGAGCGTTGAGTTTCCTCTTCACTTTGTTAATGTTTCTTTTTCTTCTCTCTTGTCTTTTTCTTCTTCTCTCCCAGTTTCTCCGTCATCTGCAATTTCTTTTTCCAGCTCCTTATTCGCGGTCTTCTTTTTCTATACCTCCTCTTCAAGAATTCAACCTTTGTAAGCAGAAATGTTTAATGTGTGATCCACCATGTGAGATTAACGGGATAGGAAACATGGACTGCAAAAGAAACAGATTGTAAAAGCCATGGAGATTGAAATTTAAACATCACAATTACAAAGAATTACGTTTGTAATTCTTTGGAGGACAATACAGTGATGCATACGTATAAAAGAGAATTACTTCTAATTATCGTCACTTATTTTGTGAAAGGATATGAAAGATATAGTCTAAACGAAAGCATGATGATAATTAACATTTTCAATAATATAGAAACAAGATTACATTCATGTAGTTATTTTTCGCTATTATGGTAGGCATAAATAATTTTCTTCAACAGTTCATCTTCTAATGTAGCTCAAACCCCTAACCAGCGCTCTCGCGAATTGTAATATATGTTCCTGACTGACTGGATTATATCGGATTGAATTTTTTAAGGAACGATGAAGCCATTCTCACACCGATCATTCTTTGATTCACTTATTACCAGAAGAACACACATCAAAGACGTGAATAATACTGCCTGTTTAATCATATGATGTCTAGAAGTTGTGTCAGTGATTTTGTGTTAACAATTATGTAGTGAACTATTCACAGGATAGTATGTCTTGATTTAAGATATTTCACCCCAGGAACACTGTAGTGGAGTGATCTTCTGCTCGACTTGCTGCGACCGTGGAGACCATTCCAAGCAGGGTCGTCACAAACACATATCTAATATGTGAATAACCTTCTTTTTCAAGTCCATGTCGTGTGCAGCTGATAGTCATTTCTATCCACAACCTTCTGTCTCGTGTGCTTTCAAGCAACTCTGATACAAATGATTATTCATGCCTTGAGAGTACTGCATGTTTTTTCGGTGTATGTGAATTATACTGTATTTTTAATCATATTATATCTAGAAGCTGTGTCATGTGTGTTGTGTTAAAAATATACAGTAAATTACTTTATTCACAGGATAATGTTATAATGTGGGAAAATGTATGTCTTTATTTAGGATATTTCTATTAAATGTGTCTTATTTCCAAGTTACGAGAGGGAGTTCAAAACTATGCTGTAAATAACAAGTTAATTCTTCTTCTGCGTTCGCCTTTAGAAATGTCGGTTGTCCCGTCGTGTTAGGGTTTACAGCTAGGTTGCGATATCTAGACTTTCGATATAGCACTTGATTTCAGCAACAACCTTTTAAGCCGCTTTTTAAGTTATAACTTAAATTAAGTGCCGGTGGATCTATTTGTTGAGTCTTACGAATATTCGTAGAGGTGCGCGGTAAAGGTTAGGTAAAGTCGGGAGATGTGAACTAGCGTCATTGCACACGGTTATAAACCATAAGTGCTCTGCCACCAGTACTGTCCGCCTGCGTCGCCGTCCGCACGCAACTCCGTAGCTACAGCGACTTTCCTCCATTCACCCCAGATTGTCAACCATGTTTACCCATTTCCTAGAGGCTAGGTGAACCCCGGGAACCGCCCGGTTTCGAACACCGACCGTGGTTGTAGCGAGTCGCTGCTGGATTTGAAAGCGAGCCTCCTATCGACTGCGCTAACGTGGCTAAAATGTGCCCGGTGTCGATAGTAAATAGTCATAAATGTTAACACTGCTTGAAATTATTGTATCTGTTTTTAAAGCCAAATACTGTACTAGTAGTAACAAGACATCGCCCTTTTGTATTGAGAAATGAACATATTACGAAGCACACGGTGTTTACAGAATATACATACCCAGCAATTGTAACCCTAGCACGACAATTGTTAGAACTTACTTTGTCAAAGAAGCCAGTTACCAGATACTGGACAATGACCGTGTGTAACAAACAGGACAAGGACATGAGCTACAAAGCCTTGAATGAGAAGAAAAGTAACGTCAAGTGTGTGGTTGTTGGAGATGCCATGGTTGGCAAAACCAGCCTATCAAGGAGGCTTGCGTGTCTAGGATTTGCTCAGGATTACAACCCCACAACTTTCGACAACTATGCAGGTGAGTAACTAATGAGGATTGACTGATGGGATGAATGATCGACAAAGTGATTGATTTGCTGATTGAGCTGAGAGTGTGCGTTAGTCTGTGACTAGGATGCTGATTTATTGATTCAAATTTGACATTGGTCATGATCGAAATTAAACGGCATTTATTCTTCTTCTCTACTACTACTACTACTTCTTCTTCTGCTGCTGCTACTACTACTACTTATGCTGCTACTTCTGTTGCTACTACTACTTCAGGATAGTTGCGTATCCTTTACAGGACGTTGCAGAACCAATCCCAACAGCCCCTAGCTGTTGTGTGGTTTCTCTAGGCAAGTTTACATCCAGTAGTTTACCATTGCGCCTGGACGGTCGGCTCTCTTGATACCACTGACAAAACCAACGCAAGGCGCGTGGCCCGCAGCTGGGATCGAACCGGGCATTCCGGCATTACGAAGCTTTCGCATCGACTTAGCCACAGAACCGACATACTACTACTACTACTATTACTACTACTACTACTACTACTACTACTACTACTACTACTACTACTACTACTACTACTACTACTACTACTACTACTACTACTACTACTACTACTTCCAAGGCTTCAGTAGAAGTGTCTTACTCTTAGTTATTCGCCTCTCTAACTCAGTAATCGGGTAGAGGAAGAATAAAGAGGATGTGGAAAATTAGATGGGGAGAGGAGGGAGAATAAGATTGATCATCAGTTTGTTTTTTATGGTTGTTACAATCCCCATGCAATTTGACAAACGTTTCGCGTTATTACTTGCCTCATTAACCCAAGCATCGGACCATTCCCCCAGTTAGCCAGCTAGTTTCACGTGTCATCTGCTGAGTCAATTCCCACCAGGCAATGACTGAAAAAATCATGCTGTCTTTGGAAAAGGGGGGGGGGGGGTATCTTCGTGGCAATGTGGTCTAGCCGTGTTCTCTGAAGGTCGCTGGTTCGTCTCACCGACTGAGATTTCCTACAAGCACGGTTCTATAGTGGATCTGCTTCATAACGTTTTAATAGAGAGCCAACTTAAAAAAAAAAAATATCAGCCCGTCAGCGATGCTAGTGTCATAATTGTTATACTCCTATCGGCAATCAGTGGGTGATATGGACAGTATCCCGCCGGCGACCATTTCTTCACAGGACATTACGTTCTACCCATTTTTGACTGGGTCGACCTGAGAGCCACGGTGAAAGTCAAAACATATTTGCATCGATGCGGATACGAGCTAGGCACCTTAGGGCCGTTGTTTAAGCGTTTAACCACTACCATGCTACGGTTCTCCCTCATTGAACGGTTACCTGAGAAGTTTCGTAATCTTCTGTGGGTGATTTGGGAACTAAATGAGGCAACGAATGGGCGAAGTATGGAACTGGCTAGCCGACTCCAGAAGCCGCTGCCCAGATGCCTAGAGAATATGTGAAGGCTTAACACTAGTAGTGGTATGTGTCATGACACTGCCTTATAGTTTGGGGGAGAAAAGGAGGTGGGGGGGGGGGATTGGTTCTCTTACCAGTTTTCCGGAGGGGAGGGGAGGATCGGACCTCTTACCAGTTTTATCGGGAGGGGGGAGGGGCAAAGCAATTAAGCCTCCAGATTTCGGCGCCTGTGCATTGTTGTGTGTGTTTTCCTTGACTCTGTTTTACTCGTGTACCACGGCAGTATCTTTTACTTATAAACCATGGTACTAGTTTTTAGTTATGTACAGTAACTAACCTTTACTCGTCTTCCGTGAGATTATTTTCTAATTATTTAACCATAGACTACCTTTTACTTGCGTGCTTTGGGACTACTCTTCATTTATGTACCCTGGTTCTTACATACCATGGGACTGTCCTTTATTAGCGCACCATGGTACTTTTATTTTAAACCTACGTACCACTGGAATACCTTTTACTTACGAACCCTAGGAGCAACTTTTACTTGTGTACCATGGACTACCTTTTACCTACGTACTTCAGACTACCTTTTACTTACGTAAAGAGGACTGCTCTTTACTTATGTACCATGCGACTACCTGGTTGTTACATAGCATCTGACAATCCTTTATTGTTAGCATACCATGGAACTATTTTCATGTACGTACCCCAGAACTACCTTTTACTTACGAACCATGCGAACGTCTTTTACTTATGTACCATTGGACTATCTTATACTTGTGCACCACAAGGCTACCTTTTACTTGTGTACCATGTGACTATCTTTTACTTATGTATCATGTGACTATCTTTTACTTGTGTACCATGTGACTATATTTTACTTATGTATCATGTGACTACCTTTTACTTGTGTACCATGTGACTATCTTTTACTTATGTATCATGTGACTATCTTTTACTTGTGTACCATGTGACTATCTTTTACTTATGTACCATTGAACTATCTATACTTGTGCACCACAAGGCTACCTTTTACTTGTGTACCATGTGACTTTTTTTTTTACTTATGTACCATGATACTACCATTTATTTATGTACCATGGGACTACCTTTTACTTATATTACCTTGGTATTACCTTAGTTTTAGTACTATAGGTTATGTTAGTTGCGTATCCTTTACAGGACGTTGCAGAACCAACTCCAACAACCCCTGGCTGTTGTGTGGTTTTTTCCAAGCACATTTACGTCAAGAAGTTAGTCATTGCTTGCTGGACAGTCGGCTTTTTTGAATACACTGTCGAAACCAACACAAGGCGCATGGCCCGCAGTTGGGATCGAACCCGGCATCCCGGCATTACGAAGCGTTCGCATCGACTTAGCCACAGAGCCGACTTGCGTACTATGTGGCAACAGTTTTCCTACGAACCAAGGAACTGCCTTTTTTTTTAATGTTCGGATAAACTGCCTTAAACTTCTGCAGTATCATGTTCCTGTGTGAACGGCTGAAAGAACCTTGAAAAGTACGTGTGCACAATGTAGGTCGCACCCGGCCGTGTGTCCTGACTCATCGGTGCTGCGTTCTTTGAGTGGTAACGTGCTCTTGCTGGCACACAAAGTGATTAACTTCGAACCTCGCTTTTTCAACCTACAATACGTACCGCGGCCGAGCAGTCATGGGATGTGCACTGACTGTGTTTCTCTCTCTCTCGCTCTCTCTCTCTCTCTCTCTCTCTCTCTCTCCTCTCATACACACACACACACACACATTATTATTATTATTATTATTATTTTTATTGCTTAACAGGCGCGCCGCCACAATACACCAGTATATATGCGTGTGTGTGTGTGTGGGTACATGTTTCCGAGGCATAAAATGTGACTTGATTAAAATAAAGGGGGGGGGGGGCGGGGGTGGGGGAGGGACCCCCTGGGGCCTTTCTTAAGTAAGAGCTGCTTGGATCAAAATGGTGAAACTCAGTATCGTCCACGATTGGCGGTATACTTGCTAAGCCCCAGCGAGCCAGAATATGCCAGCGGGCCGGATTAGGGCAGCGGGCCGCCAGTTGAATAGCCATGGTATAGTGTATAGGTTGAAAGTGCCCGAGCTATTAGATTTCGGCGCACCTGTTATGTGTGTGTGGTGTGTGTAGGTTGATAGTTCCCGAGTGCTCAGTTTTCGATGCACCTGTATATGTTTATGTATGTGCGTGTGTATAGGTTGAAGATACCTGATCTGTCATATTCAGTACACTTGATGTTTGTGTGACTATGTAGGTGAAGGTATATGAGCTCCCAGATTTCGGTACACCCGATGTGTGAGTGTGTAGACTATAGTACCTGAGCTACCAGATTTCGGTACATTTGATGTGTGAGTGTGTAGACTGTAGGTACCTGGGCTCCCAGATTTTGGTAATCTGATATGTCAGTGTAGACTGAAGGCACTGAGCTCCCAGATTTCGGTACATTTGATGTGTGAGTATTTAGACTGAAGGTACCCCAGCGCCCAGATTTCGGTACATTTGATGTGTGAGTATTTAGACTGAAGGTACCCGAGCTCCCAGATTTCGGTACATTTGATGTGTGAGTATTTAGACTGAAGGTACCCCAGCGCCCAGATTTCGGTACATTTGATGTGTGAGTATTTAGACTGAAGGTACCCGAGCGCCCAGATTTCGGTACATTTGATGTGTGAGTATTTAGACTGAAGGTACCCGAGCTCCCAGATTTCGGTACATTTGATGTGTGAGTATTTAGACTAAAGGTACCTGAGCTCCCAGATTTCGGTACATTTGATGTGTGAGTATTTAGACTGAAGGTACCCGAGCGCCCAGATTTCGGTACATTTGATGTGTGAGTATTTAGACTGAAGGTACCCGAACTCCCTGATTTCGGTACATTTGATGTGTGAGTATTTAGACTAAAGGTACCTGAGCTCCCAGATTTCGGTACGTTTGATGTGTGAATATTTAGACTGAAGGTACTGAGCTCCCAGATTTCGGTACCTAAACTCCCAGAATTCGGCACACCATTCTGTCTCCCCTTTCTTTAATCCAACCTCTAATTCCGTCTCCTCTCTTCTCCTTTTCCGTCACTTTTCTCCATGTATGTCCTCCTGTTTATCTCACTTCGTCTCCTCGTTTAATTTTGTTCTACCCCACTTTCTCACCACCTCTCTCTTCTTTTCCATAACGCTCATCTCTCTTCTTTCTCTCTCCCTCTATCCGCTTCTCGGTGTCTCGTCTCTCTCTGTATCAGTACCTCTTCCTTGCTTTCTTTTCCATGTCTGTGTCCTTCATTTTCCCCGTCACTGCTTCTCTTTTCTATTTCTTTCTTTCCTGCTATTGCTATTATTTCCGCCCCCTGATCCCCACCCCCACTCTATAAACTTGCCACCCTTCTCTCGTCCTTTCTGTTCTTTCTTTCTTTTCGTCCTTTAAATATGTCGCTATTACTTTCTTCCAGTACACCCAGCTTAACCCTTCTCATATACTCTTGTCTCCTTATCTCTCTCTCTCACTCTCTCTCTATCTCTCTCACTCTCTCTCTCTCTCTCTCACTCTCTCTCTCTCTCTCTCTCTCTCTCTCTCTCTCTCTCACTCTCTCTCTCTCACTCT